CGGTAGTTTCTGCAACCCCACCTGCTTCAGACAGAGTATGGTTTGTGATTTTCGTGCCCTCACTGCGGTCATGGATGCGAAAGGAGTAGCTGTACCGGTTGCCCCTGAAGCTCGGTCGGGATTAATTCGGCGCTCACGCGACGATAATGAGATGATCAGGTATGTATGCTTGTTAAAGACCCCTTGCAGATATCATCATCTGTTAGGCGGTTTATGCCGTTTTCGTACAGGTGCTACGAAGCAGCTTTCACGCTGCATCACTTCCGTCAGCACTGCATGCCGTAACATAGTTTGCACAAGTACTGATGGAACTACCATCATGCTTCACAGTTCGGGACCACCATTTTGCGATAGCGGAAAACAGGCAGCATTGAACGGGCATATTCGTTTGATGCGTCAAAGTTGCGTGCCACACTGTTGTGTCTCTTTTCGGTTTAGTCCTGTTAGGGGTATCCGCGTAGGTGAAGCCAAGAATCCAGGACCAGATTCCTGGAAGTTGGCTGTACGGAATATCGTGTCAGCTACCACACATCTGTCTGAAGTAACTTCGTCTTCCGTAGACTGCCAGGTTTGGTCGGAGACTGCAGCCAATGCTGTAACGCTAGATAGACTTCGCAAGACTGTCAGGTCTCGCCGCGCTTTCCTTGCTTCCTCAGCCCCATGGGAAGGGTCGAATAGATCTGCTGGGTTGAGAGGAGGCAAAGCTCAGTCTTCAGGTGTTTTAATTTCGGCAAGATCGCATGCAAAGTCATTGCATGAAGTATGGGATGCTGCAGTCTGGAAGTCCGCTAGAATCGCGGACATGCTACTGCAGATAGGAAACATTCAGGTCAGGGTGATTGGGTTGTATGGGTTTCATTCGGGTATAGCTAATGCGCTCGAGCTCAACGAGACATTGTATCAAGCGGTTTTTTCAAACATCATTGGCTCTCATTTGCCAACCATTGTTGCAGGGGATTTGAATTTAGACATTGAGCAGTTAGGTTGTTGGGCCGCTGCCCGCGATCATGGCTATGTTGATGTAGGTGCCAAGTGGGCTTCATTGTCAAACTCTGAGCCCATCCCAACTTACCGGGGTACCAGTAGGTTGGACTATATCATTTGTAATCCGCAAGCTTTTCGTGCACTGTCTTCGTTTTGGGTAGACCCGCAAGGATATACTGACCATGCCGTGTTGCATGCTGAGTTTTGTTGGGAACGAGCCGGTGAGCGTATTCCACGCTGGAGTATGCCGATGGATATCGCTAAAATCCATGCCATGGAGAAAATGTTCAAGGTAGCCCCAATCAACCCTGGAAAAAGACAGCACATCTTGACTCTGCTGCAAGCGGGCGCGACAGCAGAAGGCTTTGCGGAGTTTACCAAGGCTTTTGAACAGAAAATTGATGATGTGCATGTGTCAGTTTCTGGGTCCAGGCTTCCGCAGAAGTTTCGTGGCAGGTTTAGGGGTGCAATTCAGTCCGTCTCGCAGGCCAGTGGGAACGTCCATCCTGCGGGCAACGTCATATCCCATCGTGAAGGTTTCAATCGACGCTCTCGTGCAATCTCCAGATTGCAGCACTTGCATCACTTGATGTCTAAGCATGTTGAAGTTGATCAGTGCGCCAAGCTCTGGCGCAAACTGTTGACCGACACATCATTTCCTCCGAATTTTGGTGCGTGGCTACTTGAGGCTGACATTTGTAACAGTGTGCCGTGGGAGGTACCGAACCTTGCGTGGCTTGATGAAGTGGTGCCGCTTGTGTTGACAGAATTCGAATACACAAAAATGGCCGTAAGCCGGGAACAAATGCAAAAAATTAAAGCCATTTTTCATGATGATTGGAAAAGGGGTGGACGCATGCATGCGTCCAGTGTTAAGGACCCCCCCGCCGCACCTCTCCAGTCCCTCACTCGGCTTCAGTCCTTGAGTGTTGTTCCTCTGCGTGCGGCAAAGGGTGAGCCTGCGAGATTTCGCGTTCAGGACCCGGAGAGTGTCCAAATAGGCAGTGCGTGGGTTTTCTCTAAGTCAGTAGCTACCGTTGTCCGAATCCAAGAAAATGTGGTTTACCTTGACCGTGGTATGGCTGTTGACATGTATAAGCGCTGTGTCAATCAAAAAACTTGGTGTACCGATCCTTGTTGGATTTACTCTCAAGTGAAAACTTTTTGGGATGATTATTGGAATAACCCTGAAACGGTTGGTGTCGACGAGGTATCTTATCTTGTCGAGGCGATTCCGGCACTTCCCGCTTTTGACTGCACCATCACGCCCGAGGAAGTTGCGCAAGCAATAAGAAACCTCCCCACCAGGAAGGCCAGAGGCATGGATGGGTGGTCAAATTATGAACTCAAGCTGTTGTCTGAGGAAGATGTTGATATCCTAGCCGCTCTCTATAATTCGGTTCTACAAACAGGCGTCTGGCCGGATCAACTTTGTCACGGTCTTGTCACTCTTCTGGCCAAAATTGATAACCCGGAGACCCCTAAGCACGGGAGGCCCGTTACTATTTTGCCAGTCCTATACCGACTATTTGCAAAAATAATGTCCAAAAAAGTTTTCACGCACTGGCAGGGCCACTTGCCCGAGTCTTTGTTTGGCAGCGTGCCAGGGCGTAGTTCAATAGATGCCGCTTGGCAGTTGGCTTCGCAAATCGAACAGGCAATGTCGGAAGGTAAGGAGTTTTTTGGGGTTTCGCTTGACTTGTCAAAAGCGTACAACACGCTGCACAGAAACATCCTGTCAGCACTTGCGCTTCGTGCTGGTTGGCCGCCACAATTGGTCAGAGCTTATGTAAATTACCTGAATAACGTCCAGCGTTATTTTCGTATAGGCGACGGCTGTTATGGCCCGCAAAGTAGCAAGGTGGGGGTTCCCGAGGGCTGCCCACTGGCAGTGCCGGCCATGATTTTGTTCACTTGGGCCATCACGAACCATGCGCGGAGCCAAGGTCATTGCCTCACAAGCTATGTTGACAACTGGGCTGTGCAAACTCATTGCCGAAGGTCGGTAACTGATTTTTTGCAATTGGTGCACAGGGCTACCTCATCCTTTAAGTTAATCCTAAACCCTGATAAGACAAGGGCCTACTCCACCACGTGCGAGGGAAGGTCATACCTCCGTTCTCTGTCTTTTCAGGGATTCCCGTTGGCTGTGACCCTTAAGGTTTCTGATTTGGGGGTTGATTTCAACAGTGGTAAGCAGGCGACATGCAGTTTGCTCAATGAGCGCATAACTGCAGCAGAGCCAAAATTGCGACGGTTGCGTGCAATGCCTTGGTCGCATACCCGGAAAGCACAAGTGTTATTAAAGGTAGTCCATCCGGCTGTTTCGTTCGGCTGCGAGTTTGCCAGCACTGCGCCGTCCACGTGCAGCAACCTTCGGGGGAAATACTCGTCAGCAATATGGGGTTTAGCGAACACGCGAAATCATTTTTTGTCACCACTCCTGGGTCTAGGGGTGCAGTATGATCCGTTTATTCTTTT